ATGGTTGCGGTGATGGTGACTGGGGCCGGCTGCGGCAGCTGCGGCTCCTCCCGGGGTGTGATGGTAACTAGGCCGGCGGCGGCGGTGGGGCTGCTCAGGGCTCTCTGGGGTCCGCTCTCCGCTCCCGCTACCGATCGAACTAGCGAGAATGGCGGGACAGGCGGGATAAGCCCTACGATCGACCCGCCCTAGGCGTTGTTCATTGGCCGGTGGTACTGTCAATCTGCCCACCTGACCTCAGTCCCTGGCTTCTATTGACTAACATTTTATCAGTCCTCCACTCTCATTGGCTGTCTGGCGGCTAATTCAGCCGACCTACAACCGTTCCTGCCTCCGCCGGCCGCCATAGAGACCGGAACTAGAATTAGAGTAGTCGGCCACGAAAACCATAGAGTACCTGAGAGGACGGGCAGAGGGAACGTGACTTCCACGAGGCAGTCGCCGGGCTGGCGGGCCCCACGTTCAGGGTTGTGTGTCGGCTGAAAAAAAGGCACGCCCGAACGCTGGGCAGGGATTACCCGGCCGGACCCGGGATTGGAAGGGGGCTCGACGACGCCTTAGCTCCCCATGAAGAAAAGGCTTCCCTCCCTCCCTGCACCAAATACGGTCCCTGTGATCTGAGAACATTACGGCGGGCATAGAGTCGTCTTTTCTTTAATGGCCGTGTACTCGCGGCACAGCCGAGGGTTTCTGGAATTGCCTTAAACGTATGCGTTTGAAGAGCGTACGCTTTTGTCGGAGCAGTCACCTTGGAGGGACCACGCAGGCTCTGGCAGCCCGGGCTCAGCATGTTTAGGGCGAGGGTGTGCTCCGTAGGGACCTGCCTTCTGATCCGTTTTACCAGGCATATATTTTAAAAAATGGGTCTTCCTTTTCAAGTGTTAAGTGTTTTTCTACTGGCCACAAATCAGATTTAATTCAACTCACATTTATTGAACAAGCTAGCGTGTTATGTTTTTTTTCATTTAATTCGTACAACAGCCATGTGATAGAGGAATTACTATCCACGTTTCACAAACGATAAAATTGAGGCTGCCACCTGATGTTACTGAAGTCCTCCACCCACCTTCTTTCGTTCTTTTTTAAGCGTCTACTATCGGCTGGGGATGGAATAGTTCGCGAGTCAGTTTCTGCCTTCTGATGGAGGCAGAAATTTAAACAGCCAACACGGTAAATACTCCAGAGCTGCAGAAGCACGAAGTATTTTGGGAGTGGAAGCAGGGAGAAGGTGGAGGGCTGACTTTCCGCGCACAGGGTACAGGCGAGAAGAGGTGGGATCTCGGGAAATGCAGTCAAGTAGTTCAATAAGATTCGAATGTGACATTGGGTTGCAGAGGTGGGCAGAGTCACTTAGGTATATTTAATTGGAAATATATCCTGAGGGGAAGAGTGAGAAGAGCAATTTTAGAGTCGTAAGTAGGGAGGGGCATCTTTTTAAAAATGGCTGCGGAGTGGAGAATGGGTTGCAGAGGGGCAAGGAATGGAAGTAGAGAAAGCAGTTAGGAGGCTAGTGCAGTATCCCTTACCCCTACCAATGCCGTCTAGGCCTATCAGTTCCACCTCCTAAAGGCCTTCTTGAGTCAGTCCTAAACTCTCTAAATGTCAATTCAGAGTCTTCATTCCTACTGCTACTAGTGTAGGCCATCATCGCCAATTGCTTAGAGCAAGGGGTAGGAACTTTTTCTGTGAGAACCAAATAGTTAATAATACAAGCTTGGCCGACAATATGGTTCTGACTTACTACTCAGGTTTGGAGCTTGAAAACAGCCCTAATTTTTACATGACACGAATCTTTACATATTTTCAACATTTTAAAAACCATTCGTATTCTTAGCTCATGAGCCACAGAAAAACGGAGTGTAGTTGGCTGATCCCTAGTATAGAGCAGTGCTGTTGGCTACTAACCACACCTCTCTACCTCTGTCTTACTCTAATATTCCTCACCACAACAGCCAGAAAGTTCTTTTGAGAACATCTATCTGATCATGACACTGTCTTACTTAAAATCTTCCAGTGACTACCATTACCCTTAGGGTAGTCCAGATTCCTTAATGTGGTTTACTGGACTCTATGATTTCTAAGAAGTCTTAGAGTCTTCTCTTGTATTCCCTGTCCAACCCTCCAGGTGCTTGTAACTACTGGCTGCAGGATACTGCAGGAGCAGAGGTAGCAAACAGCTGAATTCTGTGACAACAGAACTTGGTTAAAAGTGTTGCTTCAGTGTATCAGATGACAAGGGAGATGGTGAAATATTACAAGGCCCTACAGAATAGACACTTGCAACTCTCTAGCCAAGTAAACACGCTTCAGAGGGCACTGTAGAGAAAGGACTCATCTAGTGGAGTCCTTTAGCCACTGTTTCCTTTGGAGTATCACATAAAATTCTGCATATAACACCCTTCCTTTCCTCCTTCCTCTTTGCCTGCTTAATTCATCCTCTAGGTCTTCGCTCAGATGCTACTAGGTTAAGAATCCCTCCCATCCTAACACACTGTATTGCTCTAATTAAATGTTCCCCACCAGACTGTGACTTCCTTGGGCATCTTAGTTCCTGACACATAATACCTTAAAAGATTTGTTAAATGAGCGACATGGTGTAGAAAATGAATTGAAAAAGGTACTGGCAACAGAAAGGTAATCTGCGCAGCTGTGCCAGTAATCCAGGTGAAAAAGACTTTCAGCAGCAATGTGTACGGAGAGTGGGTGGATTCCACAGCCTCTGTTCATGTGTTCCAGCTCCAGATGACTTTTGAATGTTAAAATATTTCCTCAAAAGGCAGTTTTGCCAACACTGAGGACATTTAAAAGCATGCCCTATAGGCTTGAGAGCTTTTCTCCAGTTACAAAGACACTTAGAAAATATTGCAGCAGCACCTCTACGAATAAATGAACAATCTCACTATGGAACTGCTTTGAAGGGATGGCTTCTCAGGCAAAAATACAAATTGTGTAACATCTGTCTTTTCAATGTTACTTTAAAAAGTATCATTACTTACTCATCCAGTTACTTCATTCAGCTCTCTTCGGGCTCAGTGAGCCTGAGGATGAGCTGTTTCAGAAACTAGTTTGCAGCCAGGCATGGTGGCTCATGCCTCAGCACTTTGGGAGGCTAAGGCAGGTGGATCACTTGAAGTCAGGAGTTTGAGACCAGCCCGGCCAACATGGCAAAACTCCATCTCTGCTAAAAATACAAAAATGATCTGGGCATGGTGGCATGTGTCTGTAATCCCAGCTACTCAGGAGTTTGAGGAGGGAGAATCGCTTGAACCCGGGAGGTGGAGGTTGCAGTGAGCTGGGATTGTGCCACTGCACTCCAGCCTGGGTGACGGAGTGAAACTATGTCTCAAAAAATAATTTTCTTGTAGCCACCTCTCTACAAGCATCAACAATTCATGACAAATTTCATTTCCTGTTCCAAAGTAGGAGAGTGCCACTCCAGAGCTTTGCTGGTCTCCCTGCTATCCTGGGAGCTCACACCACCCAGGTATCCGTGGTGACCACGGTACAGACAACTCCAGGGCCTGCCTTTAAGTGATGTGATGGGCAAGGGATTCATCCCAAGAATCTCTGCAAAATAACTTTTACCTTGTCCCCCATCTCTAACAGACTGTGGCCTAAGAACATAGTTCTCTCTTCCTAGAAAGCACTTGCCACCTTGTTGATCTGGCAAATTAAAGCCTGTCACTACTTACCTCAAACGTCACCTCTTCCAAGAAGCCTTTTCCCCCCTTTTTTCCCCTCTTCCTCTCATACCACTATCATTCATGCAAAAAATATTTATTCAGCATCTATTAGATTCCAGAAGTTCACTTCCAGGTATTGGGGACACAGCAGTTAAAACCAAAACAGGCCGGGCGCGGTGGCTCACGCCGGTAATCCCAGCACTTTGGGAGGCCGAGGCGGGCAGATCATGAGGTCAGGAGATTGAGACCATCCTGGCTAACACGGTGAAACCC